TCATGCTGCTTTGATAAATTGAATAAACATTTTTATGGTATAATTAACCCATGTTCGTGGCTAATATGACTGCCACGCCCCCAACAAACAAAAAACCAAGTTGCGCAATTAAAATATCCATTGCGACTTGTCAGAAATGCTTGTACTATAATTTATTGACAGCATTTAAACATTTGATAGAGTATTTTATTTTAATATTTGACAATTTATTTTTTATTTTTAAGTTTATTTAAGTCAATGTGTCAAACCTAAACGTATTCCGGTTCCGGTTGCGGTTTATAAATTGGTTTAAATTCTCCAGTGTCAGTTACTATACTATATATAGACTAATAATATCGACTCCTGTAAGTTGTTCCTTAACTATTTTGAACTGTGGTTGAGGCTCCGATATCCACCCTGTATTTCGATTCGGTTCCGGTTTGATAACCTGATTTAAATATATGCCATGGACAATTTTCATAATTTTATTATCTACTCATTCTCTCTTGTCCCTTTTATGAATAAAATATATAATAAATACCAACAGGATTTCGGGACTTTTAAATTTATTGCTTACTCACACTGAAATAATACAGAATAAAAAAAAAGAAGAAATATGAAGCAACAAAAAATCCCTAGCAATTCATACAGTTTATAGGGATCTTCCCTCCGCCTACACAACAAAAAAAAATAATATATATATAATAATTTAGATAAAAGTGTGCATAATTTTGATAAGAATGTAGTCCCCTGACCAACATGGAAATTTATATGCTCGCACCTAACTGCAAATTGTGTGTAATGAGCTGAGCGGCATTTACCTTTGCCTTCTCCTTCACCTCCACCCTTACCTCCTCTGCCACTGCCACTGCCTTCGCCTTTGCCTTTGCCTCATCTGCCTTCACCTTTGCCTTAGCTAATTTAGTGGCACCTTTTGCAGCGATGTCTAAGCCTGAAGAAGACATAAATTTGTTAGCGCCTGGCCAGGTTTTTATTCCAAATGTTCGTTCGCTTCGAGGGTGTTTTGTTTGTGTCTTGTTTTTTTTACTTTTTACAAATTTTTGTGGCTGCTACTTGCTGCTGCTGCTGCTGCTGCTGTTGCCCCCGTGTCCAGGCTTAGGCTTAAGGCTCAAACAACACAGACACCCAAAATTAGTCAGCAACAACAACGAGCCAAAGTTGAATCAAAAAGGTTGCCGACGGCCCGGACAGATATGCTCTAGGGGTAGAGCCATAGATCGGTCGCCGCTGATAAGTGTTCCCTGCTCATATTTATGTTGGAAATTAGGCAAATTTTTAGTGGCGAGATAATTTGTGTACGACTTTGTCGCACTGAGTGAGAAAATTGCAGGTAATCTACGCTTATCTCAATTACAGAGTGTGAGGACTACGTGCATTTGTCAGATTCTGTGAGTAGCATAAACTGTACTCCTTTTGAATATGTTGAACCTTCATTTATTTTTGCTTTGCCTAAATTGGGTACATTGATGTCGTGATGTTGAAACGCAGATCAGCACCCAGTTTATTCCAATGGCTCCTGAAATGTTTCAAATCTTCTACTACCAAAATTCGAGAACCATTTAAATGTATATAAAAAAAATAATTATTTGATTTAATTTTACAAGCGAATGAAGCCTTACTCTCCTTAGCAGTATTGGGAAACGCCTTATGACAATAGCCTAGTTTAATTGGAGTAAATTAATGATATAATTATTGACAAACAAAAATTCAACAATGTACTACTTAATTAACTCAGTGATTGTTCTGACAGGCCAGCAATCAGAAATGTTGGCAATTAAAAAGTGTTTTTCAAGCCATAATTAAAAGTTAAGAGCCCAATTTGAACACTTCTCTATAAATACTTAATAGAAATATGACACTTTCTCACAATTTCCAACTGCACACAACTCTTGGTTGGTTAATGAAGATATTTGGAAAGCCATTTGAAGCTTGTTTGTTTTGCTGGCTTGTTGGTCAAAAATGATTTTATAATTGCAAGTTTCGAGTGTATAATTATTATTGGTTCGTTGTCGGTTAGGTCAGGCAAGCCTAAACCTAAACAGGCCCTCTTACGTAAGACATATATTTAAATACCCCTCAAGAGTCCAAGTCCAACTCGAATTTGACTCGCCTCTGTTTTCGTGGCCTATGGGCTTCAAAATTAAGTTATTAAAATGCCGAGCAATATTGCCATGAGTATCTTTTTCTCTTGTATGTGCGTGTGTGTGTGCAACTGTGTGTGTGTGGTTCATAATTACATATGATTGACAGCACGGGTTTTAAATATGCTAGCACACAACTGGCAGGCAAATGTGTAATTGTAACAAATTGGAACATTCGCAAATACAAGAAATACCCTTGCCCCAATGTAATATTACGTGGCGTTAATTATGTAATCAGACAAAGCTCTTTTTAAATACCAACATGTTTGTGGAGTGTTGTGGTAAAGAACTCACATAAGAACATTAAATAATAATAAAAGTGTTTGCATGAGCCGCAACATTTTGTCCATGACAATTATCCATGACAATTATAATCTTTTAATAATAGTGTTTTAATATTTGTATACCTTCTGAAAGGGTATACAAAGTTATATCATTGAAATAGAAGTCTGCTTACAAAGAAAATTTATATATTCTTGGTCAGCATCGCTGGAGAATTTCTGACTGTCTATCTTTTGCTATGCTAATTATCTACTCTCTCAGTCTTAAAACTATCTTCACAAAAGTAGCAATATATATGTTTTATTCCCATAGGAAAAATTGGTCAAGAGATGAGTTTTTGCATTAAGTTGATCAACAATTTGGCCGATCTAGCTAAACTCAATAGTTAAGTGATGACAAAAATCATTTAGCTCGAACAGCCAAATAATCTATATTCTTCATAGCAATCTATATTTTTAATTTATATTGAAAGTTCAATGTATGATTTCTACTGCCAACATAGGCCATTCTTAATTGTGTTAATAAATTTCTGCCATCTAAATCGCAGCAAGTAAAAAAATGATTTATGAACTCTAGATTAATTTTGTACTTAGAAAAAAGGTTTCCGTCAAGTAAATATAAATATTCGCTTTGTTCGCATTGATAAGGCCCCAAGCAGACAATATATTATAGATACATTGTATATTGTCTGCTTAGTGCTTAAGGGCATTATCTCTCAAGGTATTATCTCTCCAGCCAGCCAGCCGAACGCTCGCAAGTGCTGCGATTGTGTCTGAGGCAACTAATTAAAAAGTGCATTAAACAATATTAATAACTAATGTCCGCACAACAGTAACAGCAAAAGCAGCAATTAACAATTAATAATGAATGTCCATGCTGAAGACATACATCATTAGAAATTGATGACGCATGTCGCGTGCAACTGCAACTGCAACTGCAACAGCAGCAATGTTCACTCTCTCTTTCTCTCTGTCTGTCGGCGTGTGCATCTGCAGTTGATTGCATGCGATGGCAACCCTTTTACTACACACACACACACATGTAGATATATATTTATATATATATATATTGAAAAGTGGAGTATGAAAATACGCTGGCAACGCGGAGTTGTCTGTAATTAATCAGACTTTCATAAAGAGCACAAAATTCTATAACTTATATTTCATTTGGCTTCGCATGAATGTCAGTGGCAACTTTGTTGGCGTCGCTGACGCTGCCGCTGCTGCTGCATGCCACGCGCGACTGCGCATCACGTGCAACTGCATTTTCATCATCATCATCACGATCACCACGATCATCATCATCATTATGTTGATCATTTATTAATTGTTTCAGCTAGATAATGAACTCGAATTATTTGACGAACAACGTTTTTTGCATTTGTGTTATAAATTGTTTATTATTATTTTTGCACATAATTTAAATAACTTGTGTTATTTCTTTCTTTTGTTTTTCCTTTTTTTTTCATCTGTTTTTGCGCTTTTTGATTTTCAGTTTGATGTTGGGGGGCAGGGGGCATAGGTATGAGGAGTGTCTAACAGTTTACATTAGCGTTGGAATTTTTACAATAATTTTACATTAATTTGCAGTTAGGAACAATTCGACAACAAAATAAAGTAAATTAATTTATATATGTAAAAAAACACAGTAAAAACACGAGCGAAATTTCTTTTGTTTTGCACTAAAACTAAGCCTAATTAAATTAACTAATACTGTTACACGGCTAGGGCTAAAAACTACTTTAAGTACATATACATATATATACTAAATATATACTCTATATATATATATATATATATATATATCAGGCTTATGCGCAGCAGCCCAAATGAGTTTACAAATATTTCGACTTTTTATTAAAGAAGCGAAAAATACAAAAAGCATTTCACATTTTTGTGCATTTTTTGCAGATATTTTTGGAAATGTTTTTGAAATTATTAAATAGCCTATTTCCATTCAAACAATTTAAGTCTATTTTTCTTTGATTCAATTTAAATTTTGATTAAACTGTATTGTAATAAAATTAAGTCTGTTTTTATCATTTTTTTATTTATTCCGTATAATTTCAAATAGATTTATTTGTGCATCTTGTTATTCATCATGCTGAGATTTTGTGTTAAATTGATGCAATTTTCTTTTTGTATATTTTTGATTTGTTGGTAATTTTCATGTATATTTTAATTTAAGCATCATGTGTAACTGAATGTTTAAATCGTTGGCAGTGGAATGTTAAACATTTGAAATACACATATTACGCAAATTAGAGGAAACTTCTGATTTGAAGTGGAACATTTCTTGAGCTCAGGTAAAATTATGTCTACATAATACTTGAAGTAATGTCATGCTTTTATTTGTTTATTTTTAAATTCATTTATGCATCTTTTTAAATTACAAAAACCGTTTTCAAATATTATTTTCAAATGTTCCCATAATTTTTGTCAATCAATTTGTAAACACGTTTGGGTTGCTGCGCATAAGCCAGCTGCTAAGTTAAGTGTTTTGCGACATGTTGCTGCAACATGTTTAGCTACACAGCTTTAGGGGTGTTGTGGAGCCAATGTAGATGGGGGGGGGGGGGGGGGGCTAAGGTAGCAGGGATAGTAGGGTGTTATTTACAAACATTTTCAATCATTGCACATACATTTCGTGTAGGTTTTACAATTATTTCCCATTTTTGGGGGTGGCTGTCAACCCGCCCCTCCTTTCGAGGCGTAGGCGTGGCATCGGGGGCAGCCGGACTCTTAGGGACTGTCCGCTCGCGAGGATGTTGCCGGCGACGATTGCGGATGCTGCGGCACTTGATAGGGACTGAAGCGTTGCGGATAGTGGCCGAGTTGGCTTTTGATGCGCAAATCGGGCGATGCTGAGCCGCACGACGATGTGGGCGTGGCAGGTGCGGGCGGTGCAGTGGCTGCGGCAACTGATGTTGGTGGCGGCGTTCGACTGGCGCCCGCAGCTGCTGCTGCCGCCGCTGCAAACGCTGCCTGCTGATTGGCGCTCGCCAAGAAGCCGGCCGTCAACTGTGGCCACTGCTGCTGCCACATGCCCAGCTGGAAGGCGCCCAGTGCTGACGGTGGCGCGGGTGGTGCGGCACGCTGATACAAATGTGGCAGCAACATTTCCGTATACGGCGACCGGCCAAACATCTGCAAATGCTGACGCGCCTTCTCCAGCAGCGCCAACGAGGCGGCATCCGCCTCCTGCGGCGTCAGTTGCCCCATCAGCGGATCCGGAAAGAAGCGCAACGGTGCCGCACGCATGTGCTGATCGAAGAAGAACGAGTCCATGGGATCTCTGTGGCAAGAAACAGAAGCAAAGCAAAGAGATGCTATGAAAAACTTGGACACAAATAATCTTATATTGAAAAGGTTAAGATGCGAAAAGTTACAATAAATTCAGTATGGGAAATATATATTTATTATGTGAAATTGGCAATAAATTACTACTCAAATGAGCATTAAAATATGATTAAAAATATGGGTGTTTGAAGTATTGAAAGAACTTTTCAAAAGAATTGCATATGTTTATGTCATTAAAGAAAAGTTGTTGCTGCCTTCTCTCCTTGAAATGCTCATTTCACCTTTGTATAATTATTTTCGACAATATTTGTCTTCTAATACAATAATAATGTTCAGTCCTTTGCATGTCATCTTACTGATGGTTTTCTTTGGGCTTTCTGTCTGAGAGTAGTTAAACTTTAATTTGTTTTATTTACACTTTTCTAAGGTGTATATTGAAGTTGCTTGCAAAGGTTTTGCTTTCTAATCATGCATTGATTACACTTAATTAACTTTTCAAAATGAGCAGAAGAAAACGATAAGAATTCGAATCGAGCTGTTCTTAAATTTAGAACAGCAAATATTTCTTCGAGTGTAACTTGTTGCTTTTGCCACACGGAGGCAGCGCCAAAGAGCAATAACATAATTACGTTGAAAGTAACTGCCAATTGCCGACACTAAACAACTCCAGAAACAACAACAACAACAGCAACAGCAACAGTGAGGCAACAACAACAACAATAACAACATTCACTCATTATTTTCGTGTTTTCATTTCATGTACGAATCGGCTTCAAAGTTAAAAGCGCCGATCTGTAATTTACGCCACTTAAGACGCCGCCGTGCCGGCTAAAAACATTGAATGTTGTTGTTGTTGTTGTTGTTGTTGCTGTTGTTGCTGTTGCTGTTGCCATGTTGCTGCTGACCATGTTGCTGTTGCTGCTGGCTGCTGCCTGCCGCCTGCGTTTGCTGTCTTAATAGTACACGTAGCCGGCCGCCTTGCAACACTTTTTGAAGTCGCTGTCGAAAAAAAAAATGTTAAAAGGGCAGTTCTTATTTCCCCGCCTGCCCCCCTCCCCATGCCCCTTCAAGTCTCGAGAGCGAGAGAAAGAGGCACGAAAAGTTGCTGCTGCCGTTTTGGGTATCCTGTGCAACGTGTGCGTCTGCATCGCGCAACATGTTGCCAACTAGCTGGAACTCTGACCATTATGCTCTCGAATAATTAGGCAAAAGCAAATTAATCAATTAAATCGCAATTCATTAATTAAGCATAATATTCATTATTTTACATCGGTGTAAATATTAAAATTTGAAGAAAGTAAATATTTAATATTTAATTAATTATTGTAATATAAGTTTATTGTGTCTGTCACATAAGAAAAATCTTTCCCAATCTCTCTCTGCCTATTTAGCTAGATTCCTACTGTTTTTTATTACATTTCTGATTAACCTTCTGGATCAGTGGCAATTCGTGAAAAGATCACGCACCGTCCAAGATCTTCAATTACTTGCCGCAAATCCCTGCTGCTCCACTTTAAACAATCCACTAATTGAAACTGATGCTCTTTGCCACCGTTTCGATGCAGACTTTCACACATTTTCGCTAATCAGCATTGACTACTGTAAGGTAAAAAAAAAAGGCAAAGACCGTGGTTCATCGTAAATAAGGTAATAAATCAGCAAACAAGCCTCATAAAAAATGGACTCGAGGCTCAACTACATACAACTATTTGAGTTTAGTAACGGGCACTCAAGTTAACATCTTGGCCAAGGGTCTGTGTGCATATATATATATATATATACGTATATAGAAATAAAAAACTCACCTATCAAAATCAGTCAGACGAGACGAATCGCGAAATCCTTTTGCGAACGGATTCGAATCGATTTTCAATTTTGTAATCAATTGATTCTGATAGGCCGTCACGGCCGTGAATATGGTCTCCGGGAAAACGAACGTTTTATGATCCATATCCTGCAGCTCCTTGGGATTGCCGGGTATGCTCTGCCCATGGCTCAGACGCACCAAATGAATTCTCGGCTGATAGCGATGCATAGAATTCAGCACGACCTGCAACACGAACAAAAACAAAAACAACAAAAAAAAAAACACAAAGTCAAATAAACATTTTGTCAGTTTCTCTTTTCTTTTTCAGTTTTTTTTCTCCTTTTTTTTTGCTGCTTATAAAAAATGTACAACAATAAAAATGTAGTCGGCGTTTGTTTTGACGCTTTTCCGGCAGCGCACAACAGCATCCTTTATGGTGGCGATAAAAACGGTGGCATGCTCGTAAACAGAGCGTCGCCACTTTCCATGTTATATGGGGGCACACACACATACACACACACACATATATATATATATAGTAGTTGGGGCAAGAAGATTACGTTTTGCCTTTTGCATTTGCCACCAAATTGCCAACAATTTTCATTCATTTTTTGGAATTTACATATGCCGACTGTATGACAGGTTATTTTCTTTCTTTCTTTCTTTCTCTATCTCCCTCTCTAACTCTCTCTCTCTCTCTCCCTTTCTCAACAATGGCAGCCGCTGTTTTTTATGTCTGTTTTTCTGTGTCTTGTCTAAATTATTCATAAATGTTCTGGGCCAGGATGCTTACGGGCAGAGCGAGCCAGCTGCCTGCTTGATAATAACTAAGAATCTCGCGCGAATTTTCTCGGCTCAAGAAAGTTAGGCACAGACTTTTACAGGCAACTGTAGAGTGACTAATATGTTTGTGGATGCTGTGTGGCCATTATTCAACATTTTCAACTTTCAGAAAGTGAAGCGATTTTAGAAATTATTACAAATGTTAATTGCATGTAAAAATAGAATAATTATTTAAATTATTTTCATGTGATTAAAATTGCACTGGAATCTCAAAAATATAAAATTTGCCATCTATATTAGAATTTAATGCTTACTTTCTGGAAATAGACATTATTTGAGCATCACTTTTCATTCCTTATACTTTAATAAATCCACAAAATTTATAGATCTATTTCCCATCGATTTATTTTAGCCATCTAGTTCTGTCTCTCTCTCTCTGCCTCGCTCATGTTGTCGCTGACCTTTGACCCCCGCATTGCTCACGAAAACTCACCTGTCCGCTCTTATCCATTTCGTTGTTTGTCAGCTTCACCTTCTCGAAGAGACGACTTGTTTGCGCAACTCCTCCGGGCTAATGGGGCGGTCGGGATGGGCGTAAACGCGTGCGGGCTGAGGCGGATGCGCTTTGCCGACCACCAGCCACGAGCTGCGATGATATGCATAGCGATAGCGACGAGAATCTAACGGCACAATGTCCACCAATACGGCATAACGATCCGGCGGCTGAATTTGCCGCAACGGACCCGAGAAACTCACACGCACCGTGGGGAACATGCGCTTAAAAGTAGACCAGACATAATAAATGCGTTAGAAACCAGAACAGAATGTTGTACTAAGTGCAGAGAAATAACACCCCTAAAAAATACAAAAAAAAAAAAAAAAACCAAAATCGTGCGATATGCTTTCATGTATATTTCTTTTTATCGCCGGCCATTGTGTTATTTTTTGTGTTTTTTGGGCGAGGATTGTATGTAAATAAGACGCATATTTAATTTTATGACTTTTAGCACGTTTTTGACACATTTCCGCGACGAAATAACGCCCCATTCGCCGCACCACCGCCCCCCTGACCACAAACAAACCACGGAAACAACTACAAACAAGAAGTCAACTCAATTCTGTAGAGTTGCCACCAGCTCCAAGTGTAAATGACGCTAATGACCCAGCCCAGTTCTTTTGTCATTTGTCTTCTGGTTTTTTGTTTTTCTTCTCTTTTTTTATGCCTACCTGAAAATGAACCCAATATTTGTGGGGTGTGTGTGTGCGTGTGTATGTGTGTGTGTGTGTGTGTGTGTGCGTGTGTATATGTGTGTGTGTGTGTGGGTGTGCGTGTGTTTGCTGCCTTTAGTTGAGTTGTAAATGAATGTTGCAACATTTATCATAATAATCTACTAATTAACAATAAAGTGCAGAGCATTTGTTGTTAAGCCATAGAAATCGTTTGTGTGGTCAATTTTGTGGCACAGTTTGTTTGGTTGCACATACAGAAACATACATACAAACATACACACATACATATGCATAAAAAATAAGTAGAGCATTTTAAATAGATCGAAAATCAGAAGCTGTAAGTGGAAGTGATGTTTGTGGACGAGTTATGTTTTTAGATAATTAACGAATTACGATTTAAAAAATTAATTATTGTATCTTAATTTGAAATTAAAGTTGAGAGAGCAAAGTTAATGGATCCCATTTAAAGTAAAGAAAATTACCTTTCTTTGAATATTTGTGTGATAGTATTCATTGAGAAAGAGAGATTCCTTCTCTCAATCAAATTGCAATTTCAGTTAATCATTAATCATATTTCAAGTACTCATATTTCCAGTTAATCAATAATAGAAAGTTCTTCCATTAGATGTTTTAGAATCTTAAAAGATTCATTCTTTCCACAAAACTGTAATTTTGCTGTTAAAGTGCTTTATGCTGTATTTCTTTTCCATCTTTGCCGTAGCAATTTCTAAAATACATTTTTATGGCTATAATAATATGCTATCGATGCAAGACATACGAAAGAAATTCCCAAGAAATCGTGGCCAAGAAATTGCCAATAATCTGTGACAATAAAAATCATGTAGTACTGCAAATGTAATTGATAATAATTATTGTCAGCCATAAATCTCCCTAACGCAGACACAGACAGAACTGGCATATTCCTGATATTCATGTAACAACTTTGACATGTAATTCGCATGTTGGCTAGTTTTAGCTATTTTTTTTTTAAACTTTTAGCTGTAAGCGGTTTCATTTGGCTGCGCCCAGAGAAGTGGGCGTGTCAGCTGCACTTGGCAGCCATATGCAGACATATGTGGATATTTGTAGTCAGGGTTGCCAACGCACAACACACACACATGTCTGCATTTGTTTGCTCAATGCACTTACTGTCACTGCTGTTGACGGTTGAAAGTTGCAAGTTGTATGTTGCATGCTTGCAATTAGCACCATTGTATTCTGAATAACTTATCGCAGAGCTGCCATCAGCTCACATCGGCACTCGTGCCTGACCAAAAACATGGCAACACTGCTCACCAAATCTATGGCCACAAAAATCGAAAGAAAAAAAAAAACAAAAATTGAACAAGCAGCAAAGAGTTGTGAAAGAAAGTTGGCAAAACACTTTTGATAGCTTGCTAATGTGTCCATAAATGTGTGAAAATACCAAATACCATGTGCCACGCCTACAAGGCAATACATGCCCGCCCCCTCACTACTCGATACACCCCCTCCCCCTCCGCAGATCGAGGTTTTACTGCTTTAGCTGCTGCTCGCAGCGGAAATGTCGTAAATCATATTGCCAACATTTACATACATTTTTACGAGCCAACTCAGCGGCAAAATTGCCTGAGGAAAACTCTGCCCCACCCAAACCCGCACACCCCCAACACACACACACACACTGCGTGAAGTGGGCGTGGCACACACAGTTTTATACTTTCATACATTTATATTCGGTTTTCCTCTTTTTTCTTCTGTTCTTTTTTTTTCCTATTTTTTGTTGTTATTTTGCTATGCGTCTAAGTGTGGATTTTATGTATTTGTTTATGGGAAAATTAGGGAAATGGCTTTCACTCATTTTCTCAGTCGGATGGGGCTGCTTTAGGTGCCAAAGGTTACAATTATGAAGTTTACACACCATTTGTGCTTGCGAGGGTTGCTACAGACTTTCAATTAGCTTTGCTTGACCAGCAACTTGGTCTCATTCTCTCCCTCTCTCTCACTCTTCGTCTCTCTTTCTCTCTTGCTCTTGCTATGCCCAATTAGTCAGTTCTTCCTTCATATGTGAGCCACAACTTCCGCTTTGGGCACTATTTGAATTCATTATCAACACCTTAGTTCCAGCAAATTAAGCCGCCAGCAGCTACTAGCTCTGTGGCAGTTAATAAATGCAGCTAAATGTTAATTCTTGTTACCCCAAAAAGTAACCCCAAGTTCAGGCCTAAGTTTTACGTTCCAGTCAAAAAACTAAACTAACTTAAAACTGGGCAGATCTTTATCGCTTCTTGTAAAATTATATGAAGCGCAGCGCATTTATCTCTGCATCTCTTTCTCTCTCTTTCTCACTCTCTCTTTCTCACTCTCTCTTTCTCTTTTATTAATTAATTAATTCATAACTTGGTAGCTGCATACACTGGTCAAAAAATGTGTTCTAAAATATATACTTTTATTATTTATTTAATGAAACTTTTATGAAACAAATACAAATGTTGTTTTCATTGAGTATTTTTCTGAAGGTTTTAAATTCATCTAGGAGATTACCACACATACAAATTAATACTTTATTGAAGGACGATTTCATTAACTTTAATATCATCTAAAAAATGCATAAATTAAAATTTATATTGTCAATTAATATTGGGTATGGATGTACAGAAAACTGAAAATTAGAAAAAATTGTTCAACACATATCTGCTTTCATCTTTGCTGTCAATTAAATTTTATTATTACTGTCGTAAATTTCAAATTTAATCATTTATATATATTTTAATTAATTTTATATCTTTACTTTATTCACAGCTCTCCTTGTTGATTATTATATTTCGCTCAGTGCATTTAGTTGGCTATATGGGTCTGCCTATTTTAATTGCCTGCCAAGGCAAAGTGTGGACTCCTTTTTATAGCCACTGATCCTGCAACGTTTCAGTCAGGGGATTAACTTGTTTCATTGTCCTCTGGCCAAATGATAAATGTGCTTCTTTTTTTCACATTCATAGTTCAGCTGCTATGAAATATTAATGAAGTTGTACCAAAATTGGTTGAAATTAATAAATTTCAACTTCAGTTGCAGTTGCAGTTGCAGTTGCCCTTTTCTCTTTTGGAGAGGTGTGTGTTGTTTGTCCAGTTTTGTGCCGAGCATGAAAATTGCAATTGCTACGCACCTTTTGAGCAGGGCAAGAAACTACTGTTTTCTGGCCTAAACTGTGCGGAACACAAATATCAACAATTGCCTAACATGCGTGAAGAGTTTGTTGTCGCTAAAATATTGACAAACATTTTGTTGACTGCCCGCCTCGATCTCTTCTCTCTTTCACTCTCTTGATTGCCACCCGCCGTCTTGGGTGAAACAATTAGGCCGCCTGTGTCTTTTGCAGTCTCTCATTGCAACCACATTTGGCGACTGGCAACAACAGCTGGTTTTGTTAGCCTTAACCGCTGACAGCGTGACAAAATCCACAAAACCACGTGACATTTTATCTCAATGACCGCAACAACAGTCCGCCATCCACAGCAACAGGTAAAAATCTCTCTTTTCTCTTAAGACCAAATAGCCAAGCCCTTTTCTCCTTTCTTGTTTTTGGTTATAGATCATAAATCATTTTGTGACGAGCTCTTGACTTCTTTTTAATTTTGATTTGCTCGCGTTTTGCTTCCTTTTTTGTTGGCGTTTTCATGCCTTCCTTTTGATGTGCTTCACGCATGCAAATGTGCATGTTTTGGCAACACCATGCCGCAATTGGTTGTGTGTGGGTTTTAAGAGGCAACTTTAAGAATTTTGCTAAATTATTTGATCTAATTTTAGGCTAGCGAACAATTGTACAAAAGTGTAATTAGCGCATAATGAAGTTGTGGAAAGGCTATATATAGTCCTAATCACTATCAGTAAACAGCCGAGTGGATTTGGAATTGGAATTGGGATGAGTTAATTTTTTTGATTAATTTCTTTGTTTCTAATAAGCAATAAAATCTACAATTTGTAAGATCAATCTTTCTATTCAGGCTTGTATCTGCCTTGACATAATATGGACCATCTCCAACTCTCTCTCTCTCTCTCTTTCTCTCTCTCTCTGCATATTGATATAGTTCAGTACTCTTTATCATCCTGACAATTTCTACGGCTCACGCTTAATATGTTTATTTTAATAATATATTAATTTCTTTTGCTTATAATTGTTGTATATTAAATTAAATTCAAATTCATAAAACAAGAGCAGCTGTCTTTGAATATACCCAATGTTCTGACAATAATGAAGTTGCATTTGTTACAGTCTACACTATATTTAAGCAATTTAAAAAAGTATCAGCCAAAGAATGGAAACCCAAAGTTTTATAGCTGTTGTTGTTGTTGTTGTTGTTGTTGGCGCTGCTTTAGCTGCTGGCAGCCAAACGATGTGCTGACATTGATCCATATCTCAGGCAAAGGGGCAATACTTTAACCCGCACAAATGTAAATAAAACATCAGCGGTATCCTTCGGCAGTAATTACAGGGGGCACTGCTCATAACAGCAGCGGCAGCAGCAGCGGCAGCAGGAGTCGCATTCAACTAACAAAAAACAATACTTTCGACTAAAAACAAAGGACATGCAATTGTGTTGTTAGCGCGACAATCGGCAGCTATTACAATGCAATTTATACTTTGTGCCGCTGCTGTCAGGACGAGAGCCAAACGAAACGCCAAAAGGAGTAAATTTGTTAATGTGTCGCAAATGCGCACAGCGGGTGATCAAAGTGTGGGGGGTGGGTGGTGGAGGGGTGGGGGGAAGCTATACACTAACCATAAAAGAAGAAAGGGTTTTAGCAGCACACAAAGACAAACAAAAGTTGCCAAGCAAAACTGAAAGCACACAAAAAATAAGAGTCAAAAAAAAATTGAAGGCAGAAGAAAGAGAATTTGGTTCGCAACTACAAACGGCTACATACATACATACATACATACATGCATACATACATACATACATACATACATACATACATACATACATACATACATATGTACATCCAAACATACATAAATACATTGCTAGTCGACTAATGCGCATTTCGCATGTCATCAACATAAGAACTCGAAGAGTTAGCGGCAACAGCAACAACAACAACAGCAACAATAACAATGACAAAAACAACAACAATAAAAGCAACAACTCTGGTGAAATTTATGTTTCATGCATGCCTCACTTTTTTGTACCCTGTAATTCATAAAGCCACATGGGGTATACTCATGCGCCAGCTGAAAATCATGTGTGATTTTTGCGAACTAAACTTGATATTTTATTAGAGTTTGCAATCTTACTTTGAAATAATAATAAAATTGCAAATAATTCTATAATGAAAAATATAAAATATAAATATGTATTCAAGTAAATCAAAAAATCAGAATTACTAACAAAAGTCTAATAACTCAATTGGAAAAATACTCAAATAATATTCTAAATAATGGAAATATGCATTTGGTGTGCGGCTTCTTGTTGATTTTGATTTAATTTCTTATAATATTTTTAGTATATTATTATTATAATTTTTAGTAATATCACATTTTATACACATTTTCAAAAATTGATTTAATTTATTTCTAAATTGATATCATTATTTTTATTTATTATGCTGATATGTGTTTTATAATCAAAAATTTAGCTAATGGCAATTTACTTCATTATTTATTGATATTGGCAAGTATCTAAAGAGATTCATAGGGTATGCTCTAGTCGATCAGCTGCCTGCTGCCGTTATTCAACTACATTTCACATTTTACACACGACATTCGCACGAAAATCGTCAAGCAATAATTTTTTTGAAGTCGACTTTGTTGATTTGCGAATGAAAAGTCGTTTAAGCATTCGCCGACTGTGTGTGTGTGTGTATATAGGTGTATATGTGTATCTGTGTGTGGTCTATAAGTTTTAGCTGCAAAACAGCTGACATGAAACAGCCGCCAGTTTGGCTGCCTCTGCTTTTTGGCTTCTCTTTTTAGTTTCGTTTCTGTTTTTGGCTTCTGCTAATCGAAAATCGAAAAATCGACGGCATATTATTTCGATGCCTTGTCAATCAATTTATGTGGGGAAGGGGAAGGGGTAGGGGAGGAGGGGCAGGAGGTAGACCAGAAGAAGGCGGGTAAGGGGTGGCAGGCGGAAAGCAAGAGGAGGCGGCGTTCGTAATGAGAAACTAACCAAAAAGTTGCTGATATTTTGCAGTTAACTCAAAATTACCCGCCCCAAAAAAAAAAAAAGATACAAAATTGAGTGTCGTGAATGTAAAGGCTGAATGTGAATGTGAATGTGAATGTGAATACTTGTGTCTGAGACCCTCCATCCCCCTCCTCCTCCTCCCTTTCGAGTGCGCCCCCCTTTCGCTGAGTGAAAGGCGTATTCAAGTTTATTGATTGTTCAAGCTGCGAGTTTGAGTTGCGAGTTTGGCTTGATTTTTGGGCGACGGCACTTTTTGAGTGTCTGATTAGCGAACGATTGAACGACTGAGTGATTGAGCGATTGATGGGTTGAAATTGTTTTCTTTTGCTACTGGCGACGCTGCTAATTGAAATTTTAATATGCCACCGATTATGAACTGAGTGGGGGGTTTTTTTTTGCGGAATTGTAACTGGGAGTCAAAGATGAGTAGCTGTTTGAGTAAAGGTAAACTTTGAAATGTTTGCCAAGCAGCGCAGCCAGTTGAATGTTTGCGAATGGAAAGACACAGAGAAGAAGAGAGAAAAAAATATATATTGTGAGTCTATGCGAGATTGGCTCATATTATTAATAACAAAGGCGAACTTTAACAAGGGCATTTCTCTACAAATTAATGTCTTTTTTAATATTTCCAAGGAATTTTCAGATGATTCCCAACATATTTTTACATATAACATGTGTGATAAAGTTTCAAAGATTTCAAAGATATTACGCACCTGCCCGTTTTGGTGATGATCATTTCGGTGCCGAGCTCGTGGAACTTATCCCAGAGCTCTTTGGTCTCCAGATGGCATTGCACGGGCGTGAGATCATCGCAGTTGCAAGTGCCAAGTATTTTGGGCGTCGGCTGCTGTAAGATGCATAACGAGAGAAAGAGAGGGGGATAGATTAGTTGTGGATAGACTTAGTTGCAAATACGAGGGTTGCCTGAACTGCTTTGTCTTCTTTGCTGCTGAATTCAATTTAAAATTAAAATTGCTTGAACTAAATTTTAAATTAATATTTAAACAAAAATTCCATCTTTAATCAGATGCATTTGATTGGAATAATTAATAAGAATAATGAGTTTTAAAAAAGAATTTACACAGAATAATATTCTATACTTTCTGCTGATATTCATATATTTTTTTTTAATTTTAAATTTTTATTGATAAGAGATAAGTTATAAAAATGAATGTGCAAAGAAATAAATTTTACAAATTTACAAATTCTTTGGAAAGTACATTACTTTTGAGAAACATAAAAGGAATATTTAAAAAACAAAGTCAAAGCTGTTGCTCATTATTAGACACAGAATTGATGGAGCAACCCTCGCATAGGTTTAACTGGCTGTTATGCGTTGCGAATTGGTTTTGGTGCTAACTTTGCTTGGCTTTTTTACCTGCGCGGGCTCCTCGGGAGACAGGCGCTCGTCTTCGCTGGGGCTGTTTGCGGCACGTGGGGGCGGTGCGGCTGGCGGGGGCGGTGGCGGTGAGGGCGTGCTGCCAGCGCCAGTTGCAGCTGATGCACTCGTGCCACGCCCACTCGCTCGCTGACTGCTCGATTTGTGGTGATTGCTGTTGTTGCTGTTGCTGTTGTTGCTGTTGCTGTTGCTGTTGCTGTTGTGATGATTGTGTTGTTGTCGCTGCTTGTTTTGCGTTGCATGTTGCTGATGTGATTGCTGCTGCTGTCTATGTTGTTGCTGTTGCTGTTGTTGTTGCTGTTGCTGTTGCAGTTGTTGTTGCTGTGCAACACGCAATGCCTGACGCGCTTGTTGCTGTGCCGCAGCTGCTGCTGCTGCCGCTGCTGCTGTTGCTGCTGTTGCCGTTGGCGTTTCGCTGTCGCTGCAGTCAACCACATCAACGTCAACATCATCGTCCGCATCCTGCGTCGAGTAGCGTTCAACAGACGACGGACCTACACACAGAGTGAGAGAGACAGCAAGAGAGAGAGAGAGAGAGAGAGAGAGAGCGAGAGGGGAATGGGGTGGAAGAGAACTTGCGTTTAAAGAGAGTTATCAAGTCAAGGAGTCTGTGGCAAGCATCTCTGTTGCCAATTCAACTTAATTCTGGCTTATTCCAAAGCTTGTACAGCTCGCGGCAAAAATCGATCAGCTATTTTCATGCTTATGTCGAATGTATTTTCTTATTTCCGCTCTGCTTAAAGCTAACTTAAAACAAGCAAAAAAAACTAAGAATTATCTTTGGGCTATAAAAGTATAATATATATATATATATATATGTATATGTATATATTTAACATTGTTGCCACAAAACAATATTTTGCATTCAAGAATTGCTAAAGCGGATAAAATAATAAACTGCTGCAAAATGAAGTTATTAATTTAAGAATGAGCCTCAGTTTTAGTTATAGTTTGTTTGTTCTTAAAAGCCAATGGATTTTCATAGATTAATAAAAACAAAACATAAGATTACAAACCCTAGCAGACCGCAATCAAATTATAATCATCTTAATTTTAGTGTGAATTCAATTAGAATATTGAGAGCGTGAATGGATATTTAATTCAAACACAATTACAGATACTAACTTCTACACAATTCTAACTACTCAAAGCTCCCATGCCTTAAATTATGGACTTAGCAGTATAAATAATAATATAAAATAATATAAGAATATAGGAATATGACTAAAACAACAAAAGGCTCTGCACTTTTATCAACAAAACAACAAGCAAAAAAAGTGATTAAAAACCAAATGAACTTTTTTGTTGCCAACACAGCTAAGTATATATATATATTTATACACATAAATATATATATGTGTGTGCGTATTTGCTAGCAACAATATCAATGGCAGCAGCCACATGTTGCATGCGGCATCGATGACGCACATGGGATGCATTTAACAGTGATACGATGCCAAATTCAATTAATTTTCCGCTCAAATGCAATTTCATATGTTAATTTGTGTATGTTGTTGCAGTGGCAGTGGCAGTTGCAGTTGTTGCAATTGTTGTTGTTGTTGTTTTGGTTCATTGTTTTATCAAATAATGAATTGCAATTGGCAAATGCAACAGCGGCAAACGGCAGCCAATTATGGCATCTAAATAGTTTTGCACATGTACAAAAATACATGCATATAAAAGTCGATATATATCTTGATAGGTGTGTGTGTGTGTGTGTGTGTGTGTTTGTCATAACGGTCGGCAACACACAGCCTTGTGGCACCTTCCCGTCCTCCCCATTATCAGTTCAAATTGGCTTTGATTATTTTATTGCCCGCGCATTTGCCGTAATTATCAAGTCATCAACGTTGCATTGTCATCAATATGCAATTTATGTGCAATACAAAAAAAAAAGAAAAAAAAGAAAAAAGAAGAAATATCTGAAGCTGTGCAACGTTCTGTGGCAATTAGTCTGGAAGCGGAATTTACGATTTAATAGCTAACTTAATGAAATTATAACTTTAAGCGAACGACAATTTAGATGCATTTATTATTGGATTAGCCCAAGAAATGCATTTGATTTATTATAAAATAAGTCAAAGATTTATCACCTTGTAATTACTATAATAAATCGAACTTAAAAAATATTTTTTGTTTTTAAATTTTATTTTATTTTTTGTTTTTTTCTAGCAGTTTTATTTATTTATTTTTGTTATTATTAATTATTTAACTGCAATGTGTATTAAATCATATATTAAAATATAAATACTTATGCGTAATTTTCTTTGATGAAATCTATGAATATATCTATAAAGATTTTGAATAGAGCCATGAGCAAAATCAAAATGATTTTTTGTAATTTAATTTTGCATAGATTGCTGACATTTATTTGGCATATTTCAAGCCTATAAAAATAGGTTTTTAAAGAAGACTTTATGTGTTCGATGAATCCATAATTTTAACAACATTTTTCTTATTGATCAATTTATAGTTTATAATCAGAATATGTTGAAAGAAATTCTGAGCAACGGCATTTGTCGCATGCCAAATTCTATTCAAGCTGAATACTGAGTTAAGATTAAGTATCTCGCTTAGCATCGAAGTTCATCTAAATATTGATTAAGTCAACTAGCTAATAAAATGTTCTTTATCAACCATGAAATCTTCGGAATCATTTGGATGCAAATCTTTAGACTCTTTTTTGATACTCAAAAAATTGTAGTAAAATAAATTAAATTGTTAGAGACGAATGAAAATCAGCCTGCCAATATAAATATTTCAAATCAGCAGCTATTGTCAGTGGAATGAATACATTTATTTCATTCTCTGGGTTTTTATACAGCTATTGAACGAATATATAATCCCCAGAGAAGCAGTTACATATTTCATAATATTTTTATAGCACAAAATAAAATAATATAAAGTTTAGCTAATATTGTAGATCATGAAGGAAGAAATATTTTTAGAAAACGTTAAACAACATTTTAGGGATCTTATCTTTGATATATTTTGTGTTATTTAATTTTATTTAAATAGCAACTATTACTATTTAATATGCATCAAAAACAGTTCAACAATTGTTAATAACATAAAACAACTCTGAGAATTCGAAATTTGAGCTTTGTTTCTAGAATGCTTAAGGGACTTGTTCTGAAATTTAAATAGTTTTTATTTGGAAGAGAGTCTTTAAGGTATTCTCCTCTTATCTAATGAATTCCCCAATATAATATTTTATTATTTATTTATTTAATATAACTAAAGGTAAGCTAAAGCAACTGTATAACTTAATATTATAATTTTTATCGTTTACTGAATACTCAAATCGAATATTATATTATTTATGTAGAATTCATAATAAATTTAAATGATTAATCTAAAGCAATATGACTTCAAGCTAATAATATGAAATGTTTATTTCTGTTTTGTCATGAACCCAGAGTTATGTACAAACAACATTTAATGTTTATTGGAAGTCTGTTCATTAAATATACATCATTTACAGAGTCACACAGATACATAGAATGAATTCCTGTGTGTGTGTGTGTGTGTTGGGAGAGTGTAGAAGATAGATCTCAATTACATTTGCTACTCACTCAGACTCCTTTCGGATGGCTCGCGACTCAGACTTGCCCCGTTTCCGCCGCGTGCCATTATTGCGGCAATTGAGAAATCGGTGGCAAAGGAAATGTTATGCTGATGATGATGATGATGATTGTTTAGATGATGTAGCTGATGTAGCTGATGTTGCTGTTGTTGCTGCTGTTGCTGATGATTGTTGTTGATGTTATTGTTGTTGTTGTTGTTGTTGTTGTTGTTGTTGTTATTGTTATTGTTATTGGCAATTGTTGTTGCGGCAGCTGCTGCGGCAGCAACTGCTGCAGTTGCAATTTGTTGCTGCAACTTGGCTTTGAAACTTTGTGGCGCTGTCGGCGACGGCGGCTGGGCATTTGCCGGCTGATTGCTTAACAGCATTTTATTATTATTTTTACTTTTTTTATATTTAATATAAACTTTAATTGAAATTAAATTAATTTAATTTTAAGTATTTTTTATCTTGTTTTTTTTAGCACATTTTGTCACTGTTCGAAATTGTTGAAAATATTGCGTTGATTTTGAGCGGGTTTTTTTCGTATTTGGTTTTTGGTTTAGCGTGTTTTCAGCGGGTTTCTCGTATTAGCGGGTTCTTTTTTGTCGACGCTGTTTGTCAGCCGTGTTTTGTGCCGTGAAAACCGCTTTACAGTCGCACAGCTGACCAATGAATGAATTTGTGGCAACTGCGATTCGCTTTTTGCCATGTGAAACGCATTCGCAAAACCAGAAAATGCCGAGCGGCGAAGTTAATCCCCCTCCCCTCCCTGCCTGCTTCCTGCCCCCTAGCAACTCTCTACCCTTTCCTAGTAGCCCTGTAGCGGTCGCCCCCCTCTGCCAACGTCTCTGCCCACAGCTAAGAGAGAGAAGAAAGAAAAAAAACAGCTGACGATCTCTTACGGCGCAAAGTTTTCAACACCACGTAAGAAAAAATGCTGGCACGTTACGTTACGACAACTTGACGTGTAAGTAAGCTAAGGCACTTTTTGTTGTTGTTGTTGTCGTCTGTTTGTTGTTGCTGTTTGTTGTTGTTGTCGCTGCTGTTTGTTGTCCGGCTCTGCGCGGCTAGCGCAAAATACCTGACAGCACTGCGGGCAGCAGTTTTACGCAGCTCGGGCAAAAGCGCCAAAAACTTTTTCACGTAAGCTCTTCCCATGCACGCAACGTAAAGCGGTTAACCGCAAGAGACAGACAGACAGACAGACATGCCAGGCACAGCGATGAGCAATGAGCGTGCGAGCGAGTCGGCATGCTGCTGCTCAGCATTCCAATGCAGCAAACAGCAAACGGCGACAGCGACAGCGACGTCGACGTCGCCGCACACATAAGTCATGCTCATTTTCCAATACGACAAACGCTAAATTCCCATACACACACAGTCAGCAGTCGTTGAGCGCGCGTGCAAGTGAGATGGCCTGCTTGTGCGCTGAGCACTTTCCGTGTGGCTGGCCGAGCGGTGCGCGCGCGCCTCGTGTTGTCTCGCTCTGGCGAGCGCAAACAAGTTCATAAATTCGTCATTTTGTTTTTGGGCTGTTGACAGTTGGTCTGCTTAGCCCGCTGTTGTTGTTGTCTGCTTATTGGGAGGGGTGTGTTTTCTACATTTCGTCGGCTATTTACAAATACCTTCTTTTTTTTCGCTTTACCTCTGCTTTGAGTGATTTTCCTTTTGCGTTTCATTCCCATTGCGTTGCGGCGCTGGTTCAACACGAAACTCACCACGTTCCGCACATTGAGTGAGTTCAGCGCTTTGAGTGTTGAGTGTTGATGAGTGTGTTTTGTGGTTCGTGTTGAGTGCAAAGTGGAAAAGGATGAATGAGCTGTTTATTGGAGTATTCGGGAATATGGAAACGGAAACGGAATGATTTACAGCAATGTTAACAGAACTTATTCATTCAAAAAAATAATTACATATAAAATCTATGAAATTTTTGCTTGAACTTAATTAATTTAATATTTTAGATCGAAATCTTAAACTCTTAAAATCAAAAGGATTTTTATAAATATATATATTTTTCTAATTTATAGAGAAATTCAGATGTGATTAGGAACTCTATTCTGCAAGGATATTTCATCTTTTTTTAATTGCAAGTCTTTTATTTGAAATTTGTTTCATATGCGGGCTAGACTCTTTTTTTATAATAGTTTATTATCCCTTTTTAATATTTATTAATTTATATATAAATTTACCTATATTTTATAACAATATTCGTTTCGTTTCGCAATTTACTCAACTTATGTGAAGTCGATTTTTCATACATTTTACTTGCAACATTTTTGAAGCCTTCGCACAAAAAATGAACATAAAATACATAAAAAATATACCCCAATGCAGAACTGGCAACGTTTATCTGAAAACCGTGCTGCGCCCTTCAATTGAATAATATCATAATTGAATATCAGCGATACTCACACACACACACACACACACACACACACGCCCTGCATGTATGTAAATGTTTTTAATTTAAATGTTTACTTAAAAGAAGCAACAACAAAAACGCCAAAATGGAAATTCGACGAGACAACAAAAAAACAGTAAAAAAAATGCGACGATGGCGTGTGAACGCAGCAGAAAATTATAGCGCTGGCAGTCGACAGTCGCCAGGACACTCTGCCAGCAAGGACGCACAGCCATCTTTTTTCTTTTTTTATATTTTATTCTTACTTGTATTTTTTATTTTTTCACAATTCGTCAGCTGCGCCGCGACACACAGGATGCGACCTGCCCCTGCCCCTGCCCCTGTCTCTGCCCATGCTCCTACCCGGCTCTCCCCTCTCCCCCTGTTACTGCTGCTCCTGCTGCTCCTTTTTCCTTTTGCGCTGCGGTTTCATTTGCATGCGTTTCGTGGTTGCGTCTAATGGCAACGTTGATCGGCAGACGGTTGGCAGGGGCAGGGGTAGGGGTAGGGGCAGAGCTGGGTGTAGGGTAGGGTGTAGGGCTGGGTATTGTCTGTGGCAGGGTGTAGCCTGTGGCAGGGCAAACTAACCATTCCCATCATTGGTTTGTTTTGAGCGCAAGTCGCAAAACTCGGTGACAATTTTTCAATGATTTGTTTCCTGCCAAACGAAGCGCAACCAAACCGAATAGAGACAGAGAGAATTTGAGAGAGTGAGCGAGAGAGAGAGAGAGAGGGAACTCATTTGCATAGGCCACCATATTTCTTCTTCTTCTCTTTCTATTTTTATTTGTGTTTTCGGGTATACCCTACCCATTAGCCATGTTTATTTGACTCATTGTCCTCACCCATTTCGAGGCGTTTGTTTGAAAAATTGTCAATTGGTGTGTTTAACTTATTTCTGAAGGCATTTAATTTAATCAAATTAAAATGGGCGCGTTTCGTTTTTTGTGTGTTTTCCGCTTTTCTTTTCGTTTCTTTTCTTTCTCAATTAGTTTAGTCTATTTTGGACAATTGCAAAGTTAAGTTAGAAACACAACAAAGCTTTTTCGCTAATTAGAAAATACTATAAATATATTTGTATTTGTTTTTGAATAGATTGCGTTAGTTAAAATATCCAACTATTGAAAGGATGTAGTTGGATGCCCAAAATAACTAATATATAAGCAGATATCTTAGGCAAGGCAATGATAATATATCCTTGCAGTAGCAAATCTATCTGCCTACATAACTAAAGAGTTTGGCTAATATAACTTGTTAAGCAAAAAAGCTTTTCACACAAGAATTCTTCATTCGAGCCATTGTTTATATGACAGCCACACGATATAGTTATCCGATCCGGCCAGCAGCAGAAGTATGAATATACTCCAAGTTTCATCAAGATAGCTTTAAGACTGGGGAACTAGTTTGCATAGAAAATACAGACAGATGAAGGAACGGCTATATCGAATTGGTTAGTGATGCTGATCAAGAATATATATACTTTGTGTGATTAGAGAGATCTCCTCCTGCCTCTACAAGAATGAACAGCTGTCGTAGGCAAGCTGAAGATTTAATACTCTGGCATATTGCAGTCCATCTTTGATATCTATTTACTTTGGCTATAATACACTTAAATAAATATAATATTACAATTAATAATACAGGTAAGAGCAACAGCGATTGGACCTGCTCTTAATAATAATAATTATTATTACTATTTATATTGTTACACTTTTCACAGATCTCAATCTTGTGTTTAGTTTAAAATACTTAAAAAAATGCAGTTTTTTTCATTTTGAAAATTCTATTTTAGATTTGAAAGGAACAAAAACATTTAATTTGTGAGGTTTGTTATATTTTTGAGTTTTGTTTTTGTGCTAAATCAAAGTGTTGTTGCCTACACTCGCAATCTGTTGCAGTTGAATGGCCAACATTCGTGCAACAACAATACTCCTCAGCTTGCTGCTCAAACTGCTCATTCATCCAACAACAACATGCTCCTCAACCACATTCATCTAACAACATCAACAACAGACTCATCCAGACTCCTCCACCGCAAACATTTACTTTCAATCCAACTATTTTGGACACTCACGCAATTTCAATAGATATCGAAAAGCCCAAAACGAATTGAACCCAAAAAAAAAAACAAAATATAAATAAATAAATAAACCCCAGCAGATTTTTGCAGGAGCTGACATTTTTTCTATTTGTTCTATTTTTGTTGTTGTTTACGCTTTGACAGGATTATGACAAAAGTCGAATGCGGCAGATTGGAACACAAGTTGTGTTTCTTGTTGTTGTTGTTATTTGTTTGTTGTTGTTATTTTGTGCCATTAGTTTTTATTTAGCCAAAAAAGGGAATTTCACTATTTTGTTTGGCTTACGTGCGCTAAATGGCCAATAAGCGCAAAGCCAAACCAAAACAACACAGGGAAAAAGGGTAGGGCAAAAGAAAGAAAAAAATGGCAACTAAGCCGCAAGGATACGTGTGCACCGTGTGCCGCATATGGCAGCCATATTGCAGGACTCCAGTAGATATATCAATTTTATTGCTGCACAACAAATCTGGCAAAAATCTAGCAAAATTCTATATTCCGTATTGCGTAGCAAATTGTTTTTTTATCTTGCCTGCCTCTAAATGCTATACAAAAGCAAAGTATAAAAAAAAAACAGAAAAAACAGAAAAAACTTAACATAATTGCCAACAATTAAGTTTTATGTTCATCCTTGAAGTTCGCCACGCGCGTGTCACAGAAGAAAAATGAGGAAAGAAAATCTGTTGCAGGTGTTGGCCGTCTGCTGTCTGTTCAAGGACAATGCCACAACGCCCGCGCCTCAAGCCTCAAGCAGTGCCTCACAACTATCAGCGTACACCCATCAACTCTCCTCACGCTGCCCGCTGTCTGCACGTGGACAATTATCCTTGAGAGAGGAGAGAGGAGAGAGCAGCGCGCAGCGTTCTTAATCAATTAACAGCTGCCCCAGCTGGAAATTGAAGCGAGACCTCAGCTTCAACTGC